AAAGAGTGCTAGAGTGGGGGCCATTCTAATCTCTGGGGGAATGATATTCCAGAGAGAGGGAGCCACCATGGAGAAGGCCCTTCTTCTGGGTCCCACCAAGTATATATCCCTCAGGGATGGGACCCGCAACATTCCTTGCCTCCTCATTCTAATGGGTCAGGTAGATGTGACCGGCAAGAGACGTTCCCTCAGATAACCTGGTCCCAAGCCATGAATGGCTTTAAAGGTGACAACCAGCACCTTGAATTGCACCTGGAAACAAATTGGCAACCATGCACCTCCTGCAGGAGAGGTGACACATGTGCACACCGGGGTCTGCACAAAACCATGCGGGCCACCATTTTGCACCAACTGGAGCTTCTGGATGCTCTTCAAGGGCAGCCCCATGTAGAGTGTGTTGCAATAATCAAGACGGGAAGTGACCAGGGCATGAGTGATTGTGAGTCAGGACCGCTGGTCCAGGAAAGGGCGTAACTGGTGCACAACTTGCAGTTGTGCAAAGGCCCTCCTGGCCAAGACCATACTTTCTCTCTTGAGACAAATTGTTTTAAGCGTCTATTCCACAGTATATATGAAAGAAAGAATAAGAGAAGCCAAGACACCAAGAGTCCAGTTTCATTATGACACAGTAGCAAATCAGCAAATGGTAAGAGAATGCAGCTTTATGTCTATTCACTAAGAAGTCTCCACTGACATAATCTGACTTTCTCTTAAGAAAACACATTTTATCTTTCTGTTCAATCTTGTCTGATTGTGGAAGACTGCTTAGACAAGTCCATGCAGTTTTCTTAGCAAGTTTTTCTTTCCCAGAAATGGTTTGCCATTGTCTCCTTCCTAGAGCCAAGAGATAGAGACTAGCCCAAGATCACCTTGCTTGTTTTATGCCTGAAGCAGACTTAGAATTCACAATCTCCCAGTTTCTTTCCTGATTTAACCATACACCAAACTGATTTTCAAGAAAACAAGTAAGACTGTAATCTTAACACTACAATTCAGAAACTAGTCTATTGAATTTAAAAGAACTTATTCCAAAATTAGTGTCAAGGGGACTAAAGCTTAGTCTCTGTATGTAATCACAAACACACTTCTAAGGCAGTAATTCTGAACAGTATAATTTATTCTATTAATATTTGCATGTGCTTCTCAGGAGCTGTTGTATCAATGCCGTTAGAAATATCAGAATCTCATCTCAAAAATAATTAAAAATTTGATCTTAGCTCATTAAAATCTCACATTAACACCAGCATTGAAATAGGCACCAGCGTGCTGGTTTGTTAACCCCAAATACAAATCAAGCTGATTTTTCTGGCAGAAGTTTGAAACTAAATTGTGTGGGTGAATATATTCCTCCAATGATGCAATCCCGAAGTTTACAGGTTCAGGCTAGCCCTCTGAATTAGGATCAGATATTGGCACAGAATCATACTGCATAGCTTCTGAACAACTATGGCAACCAGATCATCTTCAAAGGGATTTCTACATGAAAAACATGTGGCAACAACCCCCCTTGAGAGATAACCAGGGCAAGTCTGGAGAACAATTCTGCAAATTCCACATAAGGCTGTAGCCAGTTTCTTAAAAGATACGTCTGGCCACTTCTGTTCCCAAATTCATATCTGGTCACTATCCAATTCCCAGGATGTGCCAAGATGTAATTCTTTAACCATTAGAAGAAAAATGGGTTTTAGGAAGAAAGTCTTCATTGTAATTCCTTGGGGTTGATTGTTGTGAGCTGTCCAGAGTCATTGGAAGTTGGACAGCATACATACATAAAATAAAAAAAATAAAAAATAGAAAGTCCTTCCCTGACTTGAGCAGGGAGTTGGACTAGTTGACCTCCAAGGTTCTTTCCAGCTCTGTTCTGATTGACTGAATGCACAAGCCTAGCTGACTCCAGCGATTCTCCAATCGTTTACTTCTCTCAAGAGTTTTGATCAGATGCTCACCTGGCTGAGCCGTTCCAAGGTCGAGAGCTCCAGCAGTGATGGAAACGATCAGAATCTGTAAAAATGCAGTGGGGAAAAAGGAAGGATATTAATTGGCTCAAATCCTTTTTTTCCGAAACAACCCCGAACAGCCACCGCCAGCATACTTGGAATTTTTCCTCGTCCTGCTATCTCCCAGATAACCTTAGCCTTCCTTCCATTAACGCGGCTTTTTCCTTTGGCTCTTCCCAAACAAAGCGGCTTCGCAAGAGAAAAGCGACCCTCGTTGTTTTGAAGTATAGGGCCTGGACTCTCCAGCCCACAATGCATCACTTCAGGTTGCTAAGGAACAAGAACGCTCTTTTAGAAGGAAGAAAAAATTTGAGCATGCGCAGTAGCCCCTAGCGAAGCTCCTGTTAGACAATTATTGCAGCGTCCTGTTTGCCAACGGTGAGTCATAGCTAAAAATGTGACAGCAGAGGTTTTTAAAAAAGGAAAGTAATGAGCATTTCAAAGAATAGCTAGTAAATGTTGTTTTACAGTACTTTCCCCCCCAATTTTTCGTGCTTCAGATTCCACCAAGCCCCAGCCAAATACATCATGTTGGCTGGGAATACTATTATACTTCCATATCTTGTAGTACAATACGTATTTGTGGAGAGAAGAAGGGATTATGTTTTGGCTGATTAAAAAAATTAAGCAGTGTCAGACCTGGTTAAAAATTGAATAGGGGACAACCAGAAAATTCCAGGGCTGTGAATTAGTAAAAAATAAACTATCAGAGAAGGCAATGGCAAATCATTTTCATAATGTTGTTATGCTGATATAGTCATCAGAAGTCAAGTTCAACTTGAGAAAAATCATTTTTAGCCTTTTCATTTGTGCATCTTTCTATTGGCTTCCTGAAAATGGGCAGTGTTTATAATGAACAAAATTCTGCTAAAAGGGTGGTTTAATTCCACAAGTATTATGTAAAATTAATAACTGAAGACACACCTTTTAAACTACTAAAGGCATTTATAATTATTTAACTAGAAAGCAATTGTGCAACTAATATGGCACAACTTGATGCTATTTAGTGGAATTTGTTCTTTAAAGGCAGCTATGTAGGGTGGAATCAGATCCAAATCTAGCTGAGTGAAATGTTGCATGCCTGCTATATAAAGGGACAACTAGCCAAAATGGTGCATTAAACCACCATGATTGTTAAATGACAAACAAATATCATTAGCTTTTACAAAATAAAATAATTATTACTAATTATTATTACTTATTACTAATATCTTGAAAAAGTTTATTCTTGAAATAAACATAAAGGTTTATTAAGAATAGGAACAAATTTAAATGGAACACCCACATTTCTATCAGATATTTTAAGTGATCTTTCCTATTATTATTCCTGATACAATTCTTAGTGAATCTACCAATTTAGTAAGAGGCTACCAGACTCCACTTTAGGTAAATTTTGTATACATCTACATTATGGACAATAAATTTACTGCTTCTATAATCTTATAATCTTATTTAATTCAGTGTATTTCATGTGACATACTAGCACTCAGATATGGTTTAAAAATTACTGGTGTATAAAAATAACACATTTTAAGTGTTTTTAAAAAGCTAGGAGAATGATATTCAAACAATTACTGCTTTTTATTCAAGCACATTATCAAAATCACTTTTGAAAAAAAAGTTCACAAACAAGCAATAGTCCATTTTTTAAAATAATTTTAATGGCTCATTTTGCAATTATTTAGGCACATGAAAATGAAAAAAAAAAGGAAAGCAGTATCACCTTGTATTGTACAGCAGAGCTGGTTTATAAAGCCTTGTTGATGAAGGCCTGTCAGTAGCCAATCAGTGTAAATATTTGTTCGTGATACCCTTTAGTGTCACTTTCCCTTCCTGTCTCATCAATGGATTAAACATACTTGTCTGCATAATAAAGCTTTCTCTAAATCAAGAAGAATCTGCCTACAAAGAGGTGATTGCCCCATGAATCCCTTCCCTTCCTTCCTTTGGAAGATGATTATCTTTTATTTGCAGGATCTTCTAAGGCTCTTTCATTTTTCTAGACTTCTTTCCTACCTGGAAAATGCTCCTCATATTTTTTTTCTAGGATAATTAGAATAGCAATAGACTTGCTGCAATATTTTCAAGTTTAGTTTTAATACTATCTACAATCTTATGCACAGCTTTCTGATCTTTTTGTCTCGAGGCACACAATGGATTCTGATCCTCCACTGGCCCACCGGGAAAAGAAGAGCGAAAGTATGCAATTAAATATATTTCTGCCAGGAGTAAATTGCAGTGAATTCAGTGTGACTTTTGCTACAATAGGCGTATATAACAATAACATTTTACTTGGATTAGTTTTATTAACAGGACTACTTAGTACTTATCTAAACTTTGACGGCAGATCAAAAGTGGAGGGCAGGCTATGCTTTCCTAAAACCCAAATAAAATTTACATAATCATATGGTTATAGATTGGTATTTTTTAATTTAGTAAATTAAACTTTCATTTAAGATTTTTAAATAAAATGGTAACTTTCTAATATTTTGACAATCTGAAAATGAAAATTGCAGCTCACATTCTAATTAAGATCAAATTAAATGTATTGAAATCTGTATATTGCTAATGAACCAATGTTTTAATTGTTCAGCATTAGTATTTTGTTATTTTTACCCTTGATGTACTTCAAACTTTGTTTTTTTTTTTCAAATTATACCATCCACGCATCTAATCTTAAAATCTTGCTAATTATGTCATCATAATCTCTAACGCCCTTGCTTTTCCCAGCATAATTTTGCCTGAAGCTGTCTTGAACTTGTAACTTCAGAACATAAAGCAAACTTTAAATAATGGCAATTAAATTCATATTGTTCCCAAATAAAAGTTGACAATCTCTTTCCGCAAAGCAGGCAAACACGGAATACAAAAATATTTCAAAAATATATTGATTTGCGTGGCAGGAAATATCAAAGACAGGATGATATTGGAAGCCGTGTCATATCCTATTCTTATGACTTGTTGGCACCTCCATAGTTGACCTTCAGAGCAAGATTAATGGCTTCCTTTTTGGAAACTCACACCAGCCACTTAAGTTTTAAAATGAGGATCGGACTCACAAGGTCTGATTCTGTCCCCAGTGAGTCCCAGAGAAAGGGGAAGCAAGTGGCAGCGGGTGGACATTGACTCTGTTGGGTCCACGACTTCCATGGCAGAGAGACCCAGAAAGGGAAAGTGAGCGAGTGAGCTTTCTGTTCTTTTGTCTCGAGGCACGTGCTGGATCCCGATCCACCACTGGCCCACCCGGAAAAGAAGAGCGAAGCAAATTTCTCCACCTTGATACCTTCAGCTCCGGGGACTTCAACTCCCTTCATTCCCCAAACACTAGTGGGTCGGGGATTATGGGATCCGGTCCTAGCACATGTGGAGAGGAGAGGACACGGGCTGGGGGCAACTGCTTAATAAACCCTAAAGCAAAGAACAAGGTTCGGGTCCCCGGTTTTTTCCGAAGGAGGGAAGCGGATGAAGGGGGAGGGAAGATGGAGGGAGAAGAAACACAGTCGGAAATGGGGTGGCTTCTAAGACACGGCCGCTCTCCGCAGATTTACAACCGGACCCGGTTGGAAGGAAAGAAAATCGTAATAAGAGGCGTCTCCCCCGTAATAATTATGGGAACGTGTTGGGTAACTCCTCAGAGTCGCGGGTTCGAGCCGTTGTTTGGGGCACTCGAGCAGCCAATAGGAACCATCCTTTTCTGGCAACCAATGGAAGTGACCGTAACATCCCAGAAGTTGGGGGTGGGGAGGACGAGTTCCCTTTTAAACGGGAGGAGGCCCAGGTGGCCCAGAGGGTGTCCTCTTTGCCAAGCCCGCTTCCTCTGCCGAAGGGTCTGCATTTCTCCACCACCATGAATCCTACCCAGGAGGGACGAGTTGTGATTGTTGGCAGGTAAATCCTTCGATGCACTTGAGTTGCTCCTGCTTTCTGTGCCCAGAAGAAGAAGAGGTAGGGCAGGTAAAAACAGAAGGGGCTTTGACGTTTCCCCCCCCCCCCCCCCCCCCACGCCCAAGGGGAGCAGGTTGATGCAATTTTAGGTACAGAATTTAGCAGATATGAAAAAGCCCCAGTAACGGCAACCTCCATCAGCACTTGTTGCCCAGAGCCTTGAAACAAGCAAATGACTACTCTATCCCATGTTTGATCCCTTTACTATTACTTGGTAGCTTATCTTGGATCAAAGAGATGGTTCCAGGAAAAGGAACAATTATTTTCCTCCTGTTCCCTCTATCATTTGGAATGGGTATGCAAAAGTAATTTATCAGCCGTATCATTTCAGAAGTTCTAGAAATGAGAAATACAACTTGTAAGAAGCTAATTTGCGGTGCGAGTGTCAGTTCTTAGCTTTTGGAAGTCAATGTACAAATAAGTCCGTCTTTGGCTTTCTTGTAGCTTGTAAAATGACACCCAGGGGGTATAATATTCTTTTTTTCTTTTTCTGAATTTCATCGAGTTGGAAAAGTGACAACAACTTTGTAGCTGAAATTACCTCTAGGTAAACAACTATGGGATAAAATTAATTTAGATTGTGCTTCTACAGTACCTTTTCATTGAGTGAAATCTTAAGATGTAATTGTATTTCATTTTATTGCTGATTTTCCTACCCTATTTATGATTCAACCTCAGCCCTTCAAATAAAAGGGTATGATCAGTGGTTTCCACAATGGCTTCCCAGACTGCAGAATTTAGAGGTATTTGGAGCATGTTTATTTTAGATTGTCACATGGTCTTTGGTTCAAATAGCAGTTAAGGTCTACTACTTGAAGTCATGCCTCATTCACCCATGGTATGTAGAGTCAAGTCAGGTTTTGCATAGTTTGCCAAAAGTTTTGTGGCAGCAACTAGGAAAGAATTTAAATGTCAGCATTTGAAACGATTCAGTGATCAAGGAGCAAAGCTCAGTCATCAGCCTTTTCTGCATTAAAAATCTTGATTAGCCACCTTGTATTACACTGCAGCATTTGCTTATATACGATTAGAAATATGTGATTGCAAATTTAGGGAGGAGGTAGGGCTTAATTTTGAACATTGTAGAATAAAACAGTGAAGAGCATGCCTCTGTTTTTATTAAGCTGCAGATAGAATTGTTTGTCCTTCTAACCTAAAGTATGGAACATAAAAACATTATTAACATCATAGAAAAGTTTGGGCTACCAAAGTAGAACTGGAAAAGATGCTAGCAAAGAGATGCAGAACATTTTCTTTGCTCTTATTTAATGAACAAGTGGAGTCTGATTCATTTTGCAGGCCAAATATGATAAACCTAATAAAACATGTAATGATTATTTTGTGTAACACATATAACTGAATATTTAATTGGAACTTCAGTACATTGGATTATAAACCAGCATTGAATGGATTTGGTTGAATTACACCAAAATCTGTTGTGATTGCCAATTCCATTTGTTTCAGTTACCCGTAAACTTTTTTCTGCTTTACAATCCATGCATTGCAACATCTCATTTTCCAGCTTATTTAGCAGTGATTATATTTACTTCCACATTTTTGTTCTCTTTATATCTGTAGCTATCCCATGTAGGATAGAATAACTGAATAACAGAGTCGGAAGGGACCTTTTCCTACTCAAGTAAACAATTCTCTACTCAAGTAGGAGACCCTATACCAGGGGTCTCCAACCTTGGCAGCTTTAAGCCTGGCAGACTTTAACTCCCAGAATTCTGGGAGTTGAAGTCTGCCAGGCTTAAAGTTGCCAAGGTTGGAGACTCCTGCCCTATACTACTTCAGGCAAATGGTTAAATCTCTTCTTCATTGTTGGAGTACCCACAACTTCTGAAGCCAAGCCTGATAAATTGTTCTGTCAGAAAATTTTTCCTTATTTCTAAGTTGGTCTTCCTTGGTTAGACTTAGAATAACAGAGTTGAAAGAATCTTGTAGTCATCTAGTCCAACCCTCTGCTCAAACAGCAGACCCTATACCATTTCTGACAAGTGGCTGTCCAGTCTCTTCTTAAAAGTCTCCAATGTTAAAGCACCAACAACTTCTGAAGGCAAGTTGTTCTATTGGTTGATTGTTCTCACTGTCAGAACATTTCTCCTTAACCCTAGGTTAAATCTTGATCAGTTTCCATCCATTGTTCCTTGTTTGGCCTTCAGATGCTTTGGAAAATAGGTTGTCCCCCTCTTCTCTGTGACAGCCCCTCAAATATTGGAACACTGATATCACGTCACCCCTGATCCTTCTCTTCATTAGACTAGCCATGCCCAGTTCTTATTACCATTCTACATATGGTTTAGCTTCCAGACGCCAGTTCATCTTTGTGGCTCTTTTCTGCCCTCTTTCTAGAGTCTCAATATCTTTTTTATAGTGTAGTGACCAAAATTGGATTCAGTATTCTAGGTGCGACCTTACTAAGGCTTTATCGAGAGGTACTAGTACATTCACGTGATCTTGATTCAATCCCTCTGTCAATGCAATTTAGGATTGCATTGGCTTTTTTGGCAGCTGCCACACATTGCTGGATTGTCCACAAGGGCTCTAAGATCCCTCTCACAGTTACTGCTATTAAGCCAGGTTTCATCTAATCTATATGTGTAGTTTTGGTTTTTCTTGCCTAAGTGTAAGACTTTATTTTTTTCAAGAATTTCATTTTGTTAGATAGGGCCCAATGTTCAAGTCTGTTGAGATCCATCTGGATCTTGAGCCCATCATCTAGGGTGTTGGCTATTTCTGCCAATTTAGTATCATCTTCAAATTTGATGAGTTCCCTTCTGGTACCTTATCTAAATCATTTATGAAAATGTTGAAGAATACTGGGCTAAGACGGAACATTGTTGTACCCCATTGCTTATTTCCCTCCATGTAGATGTAGTACTATTAAGGACTACTGGTTGAGTATGGTTTGTCAGCCTGTTACAAATCTGTATGGTAATTATGCTATATATCCCACTTTTTCTAGCTTACCAAGAAGTAGGTTGGAGTCTACTTTGTCTAATGCCTTACTGAAATCTAAATATACTATATTCACAGCATTTTGCTGGTCTACTAATTCAGTCACTTTGTCAAAGAATGAAATAAGATTGTTTTGGCATGATTAGTTTCCATCCATTGCTTCTTGTTTTGCCTTCAGGTGCTTTGGAGAATAAATTGACCCTCCTCTTAGTTGTGAAAGCTCCTTAGATCCTGGAACACTGCTATCATGTCATCCCTAGTCCTTCTCATTAAAGTAGACATGCTCAATTCCTGCAACTGTTCTTAATTTATTTTTTAGTAACATTGTTTAGTAACATTGACTATATGAGTTTGTTTGACTTTATGTTTGAAGCTATTTGATTGAAAGATAGTAGCTTCAGACTTGAGGATTCTAGGGTAACAAACCTTGTCCTCCTCCTCCCCTAAGTGATAGAGAACATCTGAAGACTAACTGAAACCATAAATATAATATTTACAGAATCAAAGAGTTTCTAATACAGTACATAAAATTCTGAAACAATGCTAGTACAATGCAAATACATTTGCTCTTCAAATTTTCTTCATTTGTATGTGGAATTCAATAGAGGTGGCAGTCAGATTACATGTCACAGTTATCCTCTGCCTACAGATTTTGGATACCCGGAGAAGATTTAAGGACAATTCTGTGTGGGATCCCAGCTTCAGAAACTGAAAACAGAGAAACTAGAACACAGAATAAAATAGTACTAGCAAAAAAAATTACTGGCTTGTTAGCTCAAAACTCTGCTATCCATTAAGCTGTTTATAACAAACACCACCAATCTTCTCATCTTCACCTTCTATAATTTGCCATGCTGCTTATTTGAAATGGCTGACAAAGAACAAAGAGGGGTTTTCTGTTTTTGTTTTAAATGATTCATATGCTGTACTCACTTATTTTGTATCTATTTATATGGCAATTGTTGCATCCATTTAATGACAGTGTTTTTATTTATGAAATAATTAACAGAAATATGATGGAGCTTGTTAGTCCTGACATCACCTGAGATTCATGAAAGAGTTTTCATGATAACAGGAAATTTTGTGGCAATGAGTTTTGTGGCAACTGTGGTTGAAAATACAGTGAACATCTGGTATTCCAGATCTGTTCCAGTAATTGCAATAAAACTAGGAGTACTAGCCCTGGAGATACTCATGGAAAGCAAGATTTTAGCAACAGTCAGATGTTGTCATGTCTTTTCATTTTGAATTGTTCATTGCTCTGTGCCATGGATCATAAAAAGTATTTAATTGTGAAAGAGAATGAAAAATATTCACGCCATTTGAAATGCTGCTAGATTCCAATAACTTTATAATGTAGGAAATAAAAGATTGAAAAATTGACTGAAAACATCTAAATAACAAAATATGGGTGATTCATTTTCAGCAAAGGAACCTGTAAATAACCAAAGTGTTTCAGATTTTTGAAGAGGCCTAATAGGTTCAGGCTATTATGGTAGAACGTTAATAGATTCAAGCTATTATGGTAGAACGTCTCTCTCTAATATCCATGACCAATACACATTCCCCTTCACCTTCTTTAAACCAGAAAATTTGGGGGTGATGATTCATTGTAAATTAATATCCCCTATGGGGCACTGAATTATCCAAGAAGCTAACTGACGAACTAGGTAAAATATTCAAAAAAGATAAAACCATCCACATTATAAAAACTCTATAAAAGATTGTGTGACTAAACAATTCCTTTTAACTGCTGGAACAATGACAGTTACCTTTGAACAGATGGCAATAGTTAGGTAGCTGGGTTGAAAGATCTATTTGGCTAGTTCTAAGCCACATCATGAAGATCTTAACTTACCTGCTAAGGTTGATTACTAACAAACAAGCATTTAACCCTCTGAATTTTTAGCAGGTCTTATAAAAAGGGACAGAAGAAATTCCTCTAACTACCAACAAAATAAAACCTTTGTATTTTCTTTGATTGAAAATGAAATCATATTAAACTTTGTAAGAGGATAAACAGAGGGAGGTGGTAATTTAAGGGAATGTTTTATTTACTCTGAAAACCAACTTTTTCATTGCACAATTTATTTGATTGATCTTAAAAAGTAAGGTAGCTGTCAGATTGGCAGGTAAGAGAAGAGACTTTGCTAATGTTGGAACATCTCACAATCCCAGCTATGTTACAGAGGTTTCCATGGGTGTGCAAGAAGATCAAAACAAATTGCTATTCCAAGCAAAAGAAAAAGGCCATAATCTAAGCTCCAACTGTAATTGTTCAACATTGGCTGGAATATTGGGCATATATGGTTACTCAATTAACCCCCCCCCCCCTTGATTAAGAGTAATCTTTTTGAACAGAGTCTAGACAGGGGTGTCAAACTTGTGGCCCATGGGCCAGATGCATCACCCATTGGCCATGCCCGCATCTGGTTTAGTGAAGGGGAAAAAAGTTACAATACTGTCACGTGATGACACTGTGATGATATGAGGTTGACGTCCCTGGTTTAGATAGCACAATCACAAAAGAGTCTGCCCAGGCTCTTCTGAACACAACTTGCTTAATTCCTGTTTCCCTTATTTATCCTCCAATCAGGAAAGCCAGGGGTGGGATTTGCTGGTTCACCTAACTGGCCATAAAACGGCCATAAAATTAGACACGGGTTTGCCTGAACTGCGGCGAACCGGTAGCGCTCACCCTGCATGCATGTATGTATACTATGCTTAAATGCTAAAATGAATAATAGTTTCATCATTATGTAAGCATAACCTTGAGCCTTGAACTTGAATATTTATCATTCTCCCTTACTGTTATAGTAGGGAAGAAATTGGAAAACTTTGACCAATGTTTAACCACAATTTAAAATTCAATATTAACCATAATTTAAATAATTATAGCTTAATAATTTAAATGTTTAATCCAATACAACAACTATGTATTCTCTGTCCCCCAGCACGAGATACACGACTCCAGATGTCTTCAGTCCAAACATGGGACCAAACATTTCAGACTCTCCCCCCCCCATTTTTTGCAAACATAACTTAAAGCATAATTTCTCCTGTTGGGTTCATTAAGGGATAATAAAAAAGAATCCTCATATTTTGGCATGATCAGTCCAATAATATCACAACACTGTCCATGGCACTTTTTATGATATGTCGAATAGAACAGAGTACCCACATGCAATACTTTGAAAGAACAGTGACATCACTTCTGACTCATGAACAACATGAAACAATAGAAAATATGTCTGATTATATTATGAAAGTTTTTAAATTAAGTTTCAGTTGTGACCCAAGCAATTCTCTTAAGCAGTTATATCATCTAACTCATTTGCACTAAAGATTGAATTTCATAGAATATGTATTATCCTTTTTAAATATTCAGTAAAGGGCTGTCAAAAAAAGAATCTAAATGTAATATTGTATTCCACTAGTATTATAGTAGCAAAAAATAATGACTAGTGTAGAAGCTTCTATGCCAGTAGCAGTGGAACATATGCTTGCTTGCACCTTGTTTTATGTTCAAATATGGCATTCTTTGTTTGAATATTTATTAATGCAGGATTGGGAAAAAGCCTAGGAAAATGAATTGTTTCTGCCAGATTAAATAGATAGTTGTCCTAACTTGATAAAAGGCAATTCATATTTTCAATAATTATTTAAAATATCCAAATTATTGGCATGCCATATGTGTAGTTGTGATATCAGTAATAATATTTGTGCAGGATTTCTCTTCAGTAATGGTTTTGGGTTCTAATTTGCAGAATTAGCCTTTCACAGAATGTCAAAACATAAAATGATATTGAAATATGTTTGAATATTAGTAGCTTGGTTTGAGGTCCGAGCTTAGGCTGTTGGTTTGAGGTCCGAGCTTAGCAATTTGGTTGCAAATGTTTCATCACCATTCGAGGAGACATTGTCAGTGCATTTTGAATTGTGCTTGTCTGTCAGGTCTTTAAGATATTCATGTGTCTCTGGTACAAGACCGTTTGCCTAGTGGTGTTTTTTATGTCTATTTCCATGTTACTAGTTCAGTGTGTCTTCTAGAATCAGCTAACCATTCTTGAACTGATATAAATAAATACTGTTATCAGTACAGTTATATTCCAATAGTGGAATATAATAGTTGAATATAATTTTATTTATTAAATTTATATGTCACTTGTCTTGTTATCCAGTTATAGAAGTTTGGTTTGGCCTAGTGGTTAAGGCATCAGTATAGAAACCAGGAGACCATAAGTTCTAGTCCCGCCTTAGGCATGAAAGCCAGCTGGGTGACTTTGGGTCAGCCATTCATTCTCTCACTCTCTCAGCCCAATCTACCTCACAATGTCATTATTATGGAGAAAATAGAAAAAGGAAGGAGTTTTAGATATGTTTGCCATCTTCAGTTATTTATAAAAATAATAAAGGCAGGATACAAATAAAGGAGAAATAAAGAAGTAACTCTAGAAGTTGCTACAAGTGATGAATGGCCATCTCAGAGCTTGAGTGTGAGTTGATCTCTTTGTTATATGTCTGTACTGTTTTTCTTCTTCTTTTTCAAGACAGATTTTGAACTTTCACTACTGGATCTGAATAATCAGTTAATCAGGAATGTGTGTGAGAAACAATGCGTTTCATACTTAAATTGCTGTTACCTTCAAGGAAATACTCAAATTGAAAATCTAGAACCAATTTATATCAGTTCTGTTTAACAGTGTCCTTGCTAACAAACATAAAAATGTACACTGACCTTTTCTTTTGATTTCTTCCTTAGTGGACTCATTGGGAGCAGCTGGGCCATGGTTTTTGCATCTGGTGGTTTTCAAGTAAAGCTTTATGATGCTGTGGAAGCACAGGTTACAAAAAGCTTGAAAAAAATTGGGTAAGTTGTCTAACTTCCTCTAAGTCCAGATAAGGTATTGTAAACATTAACATTTTGATCCTAATTTCCCCCCCAAATCATATAAAGAATAACGTGAATATTAGACCAAAATTAGAAAATCATAAAGCAGGCCCATATGATAAAATACCTTTGTAAAATATTTTACATCTTTAATATAAAAGATTGAGATGCCAGCCTTAATCCTCTGTTGAACTATAGATACTGAGATATTGAGTAGCTCAGAGATACGGAAAAGAATTTGGGAGTTTCAAAAGATGTTGGCACATGAAGGACAAAGTAAGAAATCAAAAGGTTTTAATTTAAAATATAACTATAATTCAGTTTTAGAAGTCCACATTTATCTTCCAATTCCCCAAATGTTTTATTGTCAAAGTATTAACAGTAAGATAAATACTATTCTTGCCCAAGTAATAAAAAAAAATCACCAGAGATTTTTAGATTGGGTGTGTTCCAGAGTATCTCTTTTTTACATAAAGAATTGAACTCAAACTTCCACCCCCAAATCTTCCAAATGCACTGAACACCCTTTAATATTTCCCAGCCTTTAACTGGGAAAACAACTAAATTTTTACAAAAAGTAAGAGCAATAAAACATGCCATGTCAAGATACCAAATTATAACATACTAATTGTCTCCAGTGGTTTTTGAAGTAAATAATTTGAATTCATAAAATGTGAATGTTAAAATGACTTTAACTTAATGAATATACAACAGTGGACTGTGTTGCAAAAGTGTATACTTTTTTCTTCCCAATTTCTTTTCAAAACTCATCTAGATAGACATCATTGTTTTTAAAATTTTTGCTCTTTGGTTGATCAGCTAATAAACTGCAATGTACATTCTGTATCTCATTACGTTATTGTTTTCAGAAATTTCTAAAGCATAACTTTAAATCCTTAAAGCAGAAAGAGATTAAGTTTCAGTTTAACACAGATTTTGTAGTTGTTAAATTTGAAATTGATCCTTGTATGTTTAAGATATTGAATTATTACAGAATTCTTAAATTCTATAAAATAGAATGATTCAGAATATAGCAAAATTATTGATATGACAAATAATTGATTTCTAAAATTAAAGAACAGCAACATTATTCCTACAATTAAAGATTCTCAAAGGTTATAATTAATGTGTGTGTGTGTGTGTGTGTGTGTGTGTGTATTTTCTTAAGTTTTTGTGGGTATTTATATATATGATATTCAGCTTTGTTCGGGTATTTTCCCACGTCATTATAGTTGTGCTTTTAAAGTTGTAGCGACGTTGTAGCCAGCCAATCAAGACAAAAAAAAGCTACAAAACAAATAGAAGATATTAGAAACACCAATTCAGCAGAACACAGCAAACTCCAAGACCAAAAACACAGACCAAGACTCCCAACCAATCAGGATGAAGAAAAAACCATTCTAACACACTAGTAGGCTAGCACCAAATTTAAAACAGAAACGGCTGCAAAGCCTGACACACAGACGAACCCAATACAGAAGCCTGATGATGGCAGATGAGATTCTGCTGAAACGTCGCTACAACTTTAAAAGCACAACTATATTCCAGATGAACATGTTAAAACTTTGTAAGTCTCCTATAAAATTTCTCAAAGATTTTTAAATCTTCCAAAGAACAGACATTTTCTCAAACAGGATTCTTAGCGTAACCCCTGATTTGCATTAAGGATCAATTTCAACATTACCTGAGAATCTCAACCAAGAATGAAATGTAAAAAACTGATTTATAGTCCTTGTGGCCATGGAGATAAGCTACTTGCACATGATGTCTCTTTTGTATTTACCCTAGTATGTATTGTTTGGCCTATCATATTGTGAAACAAAATACTTTAGAGAAGTCTCATTTTTTGGAGCAGAGGATTACTAGATGAAAAGGGATGATCTCATTAGCTTCATTGCTGGTGTTTTTGTTATACCGTGTTTCCATGAAAATAAGACCCACCCTGAAAATAAATCCTAGTCTTATTTTTGGGGGGTGGGTCTAATATAAGTCCTACCCCCAGAATAAGTCTGGGGGATGGGCATGGCCAGCAAACGAGGCGGCAAGTGTGTGGGGGCCAACAGTGTCCAGTAGCAGCTGCAGCCCACCGGCCCCTTAGCACAATGCAGATAAGTCCAAGCGCAGAGGCAGAGGGGGGAAAGACAGATGATCTGGACCAGGGGTAGAGAAACTTGGCTCTTTTATCACTTACGGACTTCAACTCCCAGAATTCCTGAGTGAGCCATAAAAGGATCCCCATCCCTGGCCTACTGGTTTTTCAGTTGTGGGGGAAATCAATTTTTGACTTGAATGGGACTGTTTAATATACAAATGTAGGACAAATATGTGGGGCTAAAAATATGTCCTACATTTGTATATTAAACAGTCCCATTCAAGTCAAAAATTGATTTCCCCCACAACTGAAAAACCAGTAGGCCAGGGATGGGGAACCTTTTATGGCTCACTCAGGAATTCTGGGAGTTGAAGTCCATAAGTGATAAAAGAGCCAAGTTTCCCTAACCCTGATCTGGACATGTTGCGTGGCTGCCTGGCTCATGGGAGGCTCGTGGGAAGCTTGCGCGGTGGCACTGGCAGCAGGTGGAAGCAGAGGCATGAGGGAGGGGGGAGGCAGGTGATCTTAACACCCCACGTGGGCAAGCTGAAAGACAGTGGGACAAAGTGGGTGAAGTGTTGGGATCAAGTGCCTCCCCCCTTGTGCCTGTGCCTCCGCCTGGCTCTGTCACGCACTTTTCACCCAGAGGGAGATGAAGGTTTGTCAGCTTGCAAAAGGGATGCTTTGAAAGGGAGCCGATTTTCAAACCAGTTATGTTTCCATCAAGTTGTTGTACATTTAGCCCACACAACTATCTTGGGAATTAATCTTATGGGTTACTTCATCAGATTCTTTGCTGAAGTGAAATTATATTCATAGCATTCTCACAATCTGTCAAGAAAGCTATTCAACTAAAAAATGAGATAAGTTTAGTCTCCCAAGTATCACTGTATATTGATTTGATTGTCCTTTCCCCCTTTTTGAAAATAGGGGACTATTTGCTCTCCTCAAGATGCCTGACATTTTTGGTTTTCCAAAATTTCTCAACAATTGATACATAGATACTCAGTTCCTTCAGTATCCTGGCATATAGATTTAACCTTATTCAAATTCAGTTAATGCTTGACTATGTTTTATTAGTCTTAAGCATCAATCCTACCTCTTTATACAGTTCTTCACAACTGCTTGATGAAACGGATATCCTCTTTTCACAGAAAAACATACCTAAACAAGAATTGAATAATTCCATTTGATTTTACTGTTAACAATCTGTTGTCTTGACTGAATCACTAGAGAGCCAGTTAAACTGATAGCCAGTTCAGTGTAGTGGTTAAGGTGCTGACCTAAGGAGACTGTGATTTCTACGTCTACCTTACACATGAAAGCTAGCTGGGTAAATTTGAGCCCTTCACTCACTCATAGTCCATCCCACCCCATCCTCATAGGGTTGTTGTATGGAAAATAGGAGGAGAAAGGGTGCTGGATATGTTCACCATCTTTAGTTATTTGCAAAAGTAATAAAGGATACAACAAACAAACAAATAAAACCATCTATTTTTCAAACAATTATGCTTCTTATAATTTTTTATAGGATAGTGCAGTGATTGTTAATTCTGCAAATTGAAGAAAAAAATGCCTTGAACTTGCTCTGTTTAATCATGCAGGGTTATTTGAAGCAATAAAAACATTAAATGCTGGGTTTAGATCAATGACTGGGAAACTATGGAACAGTTCATTTCCTTAAAGCTCCCTCCCTCCCTCTCTTTCCTAAGACTTGCTAGCCCACTTAAGCCCACATACTCTAGTATTAATCTCATAATTTTTGAGAAATTGGAGGCTGGAATGATTTGCTGTTCTGTTTATAGCTGGAGACAATATCTTGGAAGTTGTACTCAAAACTGAATAGAAATGTGCTTGAGGTTGTGTACTGTTCGTTCCTTGAATTAATGCATTTTTTCATTTTATGAGGAGAAAAAATGCTGCAGTCAAAATGAAAAGAAAATACTTTGTGAACAGATCTTGAAAAACTTGTAAGTTTCCAAGAGGAAGTGGAAAACAACCTTGAAATATAATTTTAATATTTTTAATAAATAAGGGATAGTGTTGATTATGCTATTAATTACCCCTTCCATTTACAAACTGTGCTGAAATTTATAAGCCTTCATTTATTGCAAGTATATTTGAGGGCCATCTGCTGGTTAATTGTTGCAAATGCAACAAATATTTTGCACAAAACAAAACAGGAAAACAATTCCCCATTTTAAGGGAAATAGCAGATTTTACTTAGAAAATTTATGCAGAAATAAAAAGGTTCAGATACATGCTGCCCATGTGTCTAGAAACTTCAATGACCATCCTCTTAAATTTTCCCCCCATCATCAAACATTTGACCAACTCAGCAATTACTAGTTGGCAATCTGGTATCATACTTCACTTCCAGCAGGCATTCCAATAGATCCCATTGATTGATAATAGGGGATTCATGAAGATCTACTGGAAAAAAAGTGAATTTCTTTTAATAAAGCTTATTTGTTGTTTCCAGGCTTCCAGTTATCTCACACTTTCCTCTAGTTTTAAATTTATTTCCATGGTGACTGGGAATGCTGGAAATTGTACCCTACACAATTGAATGATGCTGTGTTGAGAAAGGCTGCAGTACAAACTGCCTTATACCTTGTCACATGGAGGTAGCCATCGTCATCTGCAAAAGTTGGAATTTGAGGACTGTAGCATGCGCTTAACCCAGTGTATCCCCGGAAGTGCTTTTGAGGAATAATCCCAATGTTCTCTTTATATTCCAAATAGTGAACAAATGAAAGAACTGGAAACAGCTGAAATGCTGAAAGGCTCCCTCACAGCTGACCAGCAGATCACTCTCATTAGTGGCTGCACAGATTTAAAAGAAGCTGTCAAAGGTGCCATTTATGTTCAGGTGAGTCCATGACGATCCAGTGGAATTCACATGAAAGAGATTTTGTGAGTTAATCTACCTTTCATATATGCTGCAAAACATCAATAACTGTTCTGTTCATTTGAACTGTTTCAGTTAAAGATAGTCCTTGGCTTAATGGAGTCTGCTCAGCATGGTGGTAAATTGTGATGGTCGTAAAATATAGAACCTTTCACTCAAAATACAGAAAAGAAAAGTTTAAGCTATTAAACCAAATCAAAGCAAAATTTAAAGCACGGTCCTAAAGTAGACATATACAGGAACTTGGCTGAATAGGTGTTTGTAAAATTTATTCATTCATACATAAAAAGGTAAAGGTTCTCCTTGCACACACATGCTAGTCATTTCCAGCTCTAGGGGGTGGTGCTCATTTCCGTTACATGCCAAAAAGCCAGCGCTGTCTGAAGATGTCTCCGTGGTCATGTGGCCAGCATGACTAAATGCCAAAGGGTGCACGGAATACTGTTATCTTCCCACCAAAGTGGTCCCTATTTTTCTACTTGCATTTTTACATGCTTTCGAACTGCTAGGTTGGCAGAAGCTGGGACAAGTAACGGGAGCTCACTTCATTATGCGGTGCTAGGGATTCGAACTGCCGACCTTTCTGATCGACAAGCTCAGCATCTTAGCCATTGAGCCACCATGTCCCTTCATTCATACATGCATACATTCAAATTGTACATCTGGCCATCTCAACCAGTAATTCTGTGTGATGAACAAAATAAAGTTAAAAAAAATCTACAGAAA